CCCAGTCACATTTTGAGTGCCTTCTTACTTGAGAGGCTCATCTTCCAGCACTACACTGGACATTGTTTCATGGCTATTCATAAAGTTTTCCAGTAATTGTATTGGTGTTTTACTGCTATTGACAAGGTTTTCACTGGTCAATTATTTCAGAAGTAGATGGCCCCTTTCTTCTTCCGCGTCTGTCTCAGTCTGGAAGCTCCGCTGAAAACTGTCCACCATGAGTGACCCTGCTGGTATTTGAAACACTGCTAACACAGCCTCCAGCCTCACAGCAACACACAAGCCACCACAGTATGACAAACTGACAGATGAGTGGTGGTTCTTTTGTTGAGTCTCTAGAATTTTCAATGTATAGGACCAGATCATCTGCAAACAGAGATACTTTTACTTCTCCTTTGCCAATTTGGATGCCTTTTATTTCCCCTTCTTGCCTTACTGCTCTAGCTACAATTTCCAATACAATATTGACTAGGAGTGATAATAAAGGGCATCCTTTCTGGTTCCTGTTTTGTAAGGAGAATACTTTCAGTTTCTCTTCATTGAGAATAATGTTGGTCATTGGTTGTGTGTATATGCCCTTAATTATCTTGAGGAATTTTGCTTATACTCCTATTTTGCTGAGCATTTTTTAAGCAAGAATGGGTTTTGGATTTTGTCAAATGCCTTTTATGCATCAATTGATATGATCATGTGTTTCTTTTCCTTTGTTTTATGTATGTGGTGGGTTACCTTGATTCTTTTTCTAATATTGAACCATTCTTGCATATCCAGTATAAATCCCACTTGGTCATGACATATTATTTTTTCAATATGTTGCTGGAGCCTACTGACTAGGATTCTGTTTTCATGAGGTATATTGGTCTGCAGTATTCCTTTCTAGTGGTGTCTTCAAGTGGTTTTGGTATCAGGGTTATGCCTGCTTCATAGAATAAGTCTGGGAGTATTTCAGCCTTTTCTTTGTTCTGGAACTATTTTAGTACCATTACTCTTCTGTGAATATTCAGTAGAATTCACCAGTTAAGCTGTCTGGGCAAGGACATTTTGTTGTTGTTGTTGTTGTTGGGAGTTTCTTTTCAATGACCTGTTCAATTTCTTCTTTTGTGATGGGTCTGTTCAAAATTTCTACCTCAGATTATGTTAGTTTATGTAGGTAGTGTGTTTCCAGAAATCTGCCAATTTCTTCTAGGTTTTCAAAATTGCTGAAGTACAGTTCTTCATAGTATTGTTATTATCCTTTTTATTTTGGTAGGTTCTATTGTGAACACCTATTTCACTTCTTATTCATGTAATTTACATCAGCTCCTTCTCCTTTGTTAAATTTACCATTGGTTTGTCAATTTTATTAATCCTTTCAAAGAATCAACTCCTAGTTTTGTTGATCCTATGGTTTTTCTTTTTTGTGTTTACTTTTGCTCAACTCTTTATTATTTCCTTTCTTCTGGTGACTGTAGGTTTTTCTGCTGTTATTTTTCTAATTATTGGAGATGCTGGGTTAACATGTTAATTTTGGTTCTTTCTTCTTCTTCTTCTTCTTTGATGTGTGGGTTTATTGCTATAAATTGCCCTGGACTACTACTTCTGTGGTGTCTTAAAGATTTTGGTATGTTGTTTTGTTTTTGTTTGATTCATGGAATTTTTAATTTCCTTTTTATTTCTTCTATTACCCAGTAGTTTTTAAGCAAGGTGTTATTCAGTTCCCATGTATTTGATTTTTTTTTCCTTGATCTTGCTTTTGTTTTCTGATGTTATAGCACTGTGATCTGAAAAGATGCTTTGTAGTATTTCAATGTTTTAACATTTTTTGAGGCTTGCTTTGTGGAATAAGATAGGGTCTATTCTGGAGAAAGTTTCACTTTAACTGGAAAAAAAATGTATATTGTGCTGTTGTTGAGCAGACTGTTCTGTATATATCTATGAGGTCTATTTGGTTGAACATGATGTTTAGACATTGTTATCTTTGTTAAGTTTATTTCTAGTTCTGTCCTTCATCAAAAGTGGCTTATTAAAGTCTCCTACTCTTGCTGTGGAGTTTTCTATTTCTCTTTTCAATTCTGCTAAAGTTAGATTTATGTATTTTGGGCTCTTCCACTGTGTGTGAAACATTTATTATGATTACATGCTCTTGTTTGGTTGACCCTTTAATCATTATATAATGGCCTTCTTTATCTCTTTTGGTGGATTTTTCCTTAAATTCTATTCTACCAGAAATTAATATTGTCATTCCCAGTCTTTTTTAGTTGCCATTTTCTTAATATGTTTTTCCATCCTTTGATTTTTAGCTTATTTTTGTCTTTGTGCCTAAGATGTGTCACTTGTATACAGCATATTGTTGGGTCATGTTTTCTTACCCATTTTGCTATACTCTGTCTCTTGACTGATACACTGAATACATTTATATTCAGTGTAATTATTGATAGGTATGAATTTACTGCTGTCATGTTGCTGTTTTGTGTGTATGCATGTACGTGTGGTGCTGCTGGTTTCTTTGTTCAATATATTTTTCTGTGCTGAGTTCCTTCTGTTTATAGATTTTCTTATCATTTTCATCATTAGTATTGTTTTAGTGTTTACTAAGATTCCATGACTTTCATAAGAAAGTTTATTATATTTCTTAGAGGTTACACTATAATTTATTATCTTCTCAAGTTTAAAGTAGTCTATTCTATCTTTATATCATCTTGACTTCCTCTTCATTTGAAGGCTCTGTAACTGTATCATTTAATCCGTCTTTTTGCTTTGTACTTATCACTGTTTACAAATTGACATCTCTGTTTCCCTATTTTCAGTCTTTGTAGGTTTATTTTATTTGTGACACTTCCATATATGGATTGATTTCCAGATGATGTTGTCATGTGTCTTAATCTCCAGTTGTTGTCTTAGTTCTTGGTTCTCTGTCCAAAGGATTTCCTTTAGTAATTCATGTAAGGTTGGTCTGGTTTCTGCAAATCCCCTTAATTTCTATTTATCTATGAATGCCATAATTTCACCATCGTACTTGAGAGACACTGTTGCTGGACAGATAATTCTTGGCTGGCAATTTGTTCTTTCAGGGTTTTATATGTTATCTCATTGCCTTTCTGCTGGCATGGTTGCTGCCAGAAAATTAGAATGTAGTCTTATTGCTTCTCCTTTGTAGGTGAGTTTCCATTTTTCCTGAACTACTTTCAATATTCTTTGTCTTTGGCTTGAGAAAGTTTGATTATGATACATCTTGGTGATTTCCTTTTGGGGTCGATCCTATTTGGGGTTCACTAAGTTTTCTGAATGCATACCTTCTTGTCTTTCGTGACATTAGGGAAGTTTTCTTCCAACAGAGCTTCAAGGGATTTACTTGGGTTTCTGTTGTCGTTGTCTCTTCTGGAATTCTGAGCACATGTAATTTATTCATCTTGATGGTGTCTCCAATGGTTCTTAGTCTTTCTTAATTCTTTTTCATCCTTTTTTCTGACTGTTCCACTAAAAGATTAGTTTTGGAGGATTTATCTTCAATCTAATTTGCTGTTCCACTGATTCAATTCTACTCCCTTGTCTTTCCTTGCCTTATCTTTTTCTGAAATCTTAGTATTAATCTTCTGTGTTTCAATCTGATCTTTATTTTTTAAATTCTCATTGTTTTGTGTTTTCCTTAATGTTGCCTGTGGTTTCCTCAAATTCTCTCTCAATTTGTTGAACATACCTAAATAGAATTCTTTTGAATTCCTTATGAGATAGTTCCAATAGCATTTCTTCCTCTGGAAGATTTTCTGGCCCTGTATTCTGTTCATTTGTTTGAACCATCTTGTTCTGTTTGTGTGTGTGATCTGAAGTTGTCTGTTGTCTCTGAGACATAGTAGTGTCATTGTATTAATTTGTTGATTGTAAGTTGTTTTGCTTTCATTCCAATTTTTTTTGTTTTGTTTTAATATATCCAGCCAACAGGATGGGTGTGTTACTCTAGTTGATAGTTGGCCAGCCATGGGGTGATCACCACCTATCTCTGCATTGGAATGTAGGCATAATTCTCTCATCATTGATTGTGCAGAGCAACTGGAGCATGCTGAGCAGGTGTTGGCTGCCATCTGTCAGTGGTCCAGTGGTGCTGGAGTGGGTGGTGGCTCTTGTGCAGTGGGTAGGGCAGGAAATGTGGGTGGGTATGGTTGGTATGGACACTGGCTCACAACTGCTAGGTAAAGACAGAGAAAACAAAGGGTCAGGGGAGGGAAAAGGAAATGAAAAAAAGAAAAAACAAGGGACAAGAGAGCAGAGAAACAGGAATAAAGAAAAAGAAGAAAAAAGAAAACCCCAAGACAAATGTGGCACAGTAACGGTGCAAGTGGTAGCCACCAAACACAGCTCCAGTGGAAATGTGGCACTCACCCCATGGGAGCACACATCACTGGGTATTATGGAGGTTCAGGGGCAGCATTACAAGTTTCAAAGTCTCTTTTGTAATTGATATTGGTATTTTCTTTCTACCTTGTCTTTTTTAATGACCGTTTCCTTTCTTCATATATGATGCCTTTGATATTATTCCACAACTTGACCTAGCTAACTGATAACCAGAAATTAGTCTTTGTGCAATTCAAAGAGCAACCATTTAATCAGAACTTTTTTATATTTCACTTCCCTCAAAATATTTATTTAAATTATTATGTTTATATGAGGAAATAATAGACAGCTGTAACAAACTGTGTTGATGAAGAATTCATAGTGCCAGAGGAAAAAATTATGATAATACTAACTGAAACAGTAAGAAAGCAGAATGCACATATATATACATACACGATCATTATGCTAAACCATATACAACTGCAAAAAATAGTGACATAAATATTAACAATGGTTACATCTGTAGTAGGGAGGCTTATGGATAATATTTAACTCTGCACAGTGTTGTGTAGGTTCCAAATGTTCCCCTATGGGCATATAATTTTATGATCAGAAATAAAAAGTTTCAAGTACAGACACACATACACACAAGCACATACTTTTTTTGGTAAACTGACAGTTAAGACACATACCTGGAACTGAATTAGTGGATGATCACCAAACACATATTCTACTCTCCCACTGACTTGTAACACATAGTCATAGGGGCTAACTTCATCTTCTTTTCCATGAATAGTCAAACGTTTTTGGATTGCCAATTCATTTATTTTTACAGGATTCATATTAGGGGACACTTGAAAGCTAAACACATCCTGAAAGAGGGGGTATAAAGAAGAAGCAATTAGATTTTGTATTTGTCCTCCAAAACAACTTTTTTTATATAATACTTATATTTCCACACATGATTTATTCTGTACGTTTGTATATATTTACATCCTTATGTCTTATATTCTAGTCAATTTTCTTATTTTCTAAATATGATTGTATAAAATTAACATTCCTGATCATTTATAAGTTATCACCTGACACTATAAAATGTCATAGCCTCCACAAATAACATTTAACTGAAGTTTAATAATATTTAACCACTAGACAGTACATTACATGTATTTTCCAGTGAACAACTTTCTTAAAAAAATTTAGTTTGTATTTTAAAAAAAAAATGTTGGTTACTGGTAAGAAGAGAGCTATACTTGTCACTGATAAAACCATAAACTGAGAATTCTGCTTAATTTTAAATGTAAAGAAAAATATAGAAATTTGACATCAATGAAGATATAGTTGGATGAAACATCACTAAATCTGTTCATTGTTGTTGTTGTTGTTGTTATGTGCCGTCGAGTCAGCCCTGACTCATAGCGATCCCTCCTTGGGTTTCCGAGGTAGTATCACTACGGAAGTAGGATTGCCCAACCTTCCTTCCGAGGAGTGGCTGGTGGGTTTGAACCGCCAGCCTTCTGGTGAGCAGGCAAGTGTCTTAGCCACTATGCTACCAGAGCTCCCAAATCTGTTCATTAGAAAATCCAATGGTACAGATTTTAAAGATTATCTAATAACACTTGAATCCTCTCAATATCTAACAAAGTATATAATTTCCCACCAAATGACCATTCACATAAAATATGAGAAGCTCACTACTCCCAAGGCAGCCAATTGCTACTGTGGAAAACTGTGATTATTAAAACATTCTCTATATTGACTTAAATCCACTTTGCAATATTTTTCATCAAATTAAGTCACCCCTTTTCCATAAAGTATCTCAAACTCAAACTTTTTAAACTCATATTTACAATGTGTTCCAAATTCATTCTTTAAAGTATTTTTCATCTAATATTCTTTATATGAGTTGGTACTATGCACATCAAAGCACACAAGCTAAGATTCTATTATTCACTTCAGAAATCACATAAATCCACCCTTTTTCGTCCCCAGTTCATTTCTAACAATTAGATACCAATGATCTTATACCCTAATGATTTGTCTTCACCTTCTCTGCATAACATTCTCTTGGTTCAGAGATTCTTTATAGCTCTCCTAAACAGCAACATAAGTGTCTAATATGCTCTCCTTACCTTTTGTACTATCCACCTCAAAACTAACCTTCACTCAGCTTACAAAGTGTTATGGATTGAATTTTATCCCCAAAAAAGATATTCTTAAATTCTAATCCCTAATCTGTTGAATGTGACCTTATTTGGGTATACAGTCTTTCTTCAAAGCTCTGCTCAGTTAAGGAGGTCATAGCAGTGGACAAAATACAAGAAAAACAAAAGAGTGAAACAATACGCCACATTACTGGGAAAATAGGATTAATACCCCTAAAACATGAAAAACTTCTACAAACCAAAAAAACATAACCCTATTTAGAAATGGACAATAACAAAAGATAAATACAGCCTTAATAAATATATGAAAAGTTATCAAATCCTATCAGTTATAAGTAAGATATAATAAAAAATACAATGGATAAATGAATTATAGTACATTTATATAATTGAATCACATACAGTACTGAGAGCTTTAGCATTTTCCCCAAGGTCCACTCACTTGATAGTCAAATCAATCTCTTTTGAAACAGCTGTTCTGAAATTATCATCCCTGTAAATTTTCTACACTTTGAACTGTTAAGTGGACTAACTGTGTCAGAACTCAACTTGACCAGTTTATTCTGTTTTTCAAGCAGTTCTCCAATATTCCTCTCAATGACTTCAAGATATATTGCATCTTTTGGAAGACTTCTAATTTTACATGACAATTTGCATTGTACCATTCAATTATTAGAAATAGCTATAGACTAGACACTGTCCAACAAGACACTGAGCAAATGCATGGGGACAGATACTTCTGTCTTGCAGGGAAGGATTATTCTAGATAGCCTTACTACTCTATGTGCTTCATTTTTTTTTTTTTTTTCACATTTATGTCCTTATTTCTGATATATTCTCTAGAATGCCCCAAACCTGTGCTCTCCACCTCATTCTACTCTGCCCATAATGGAATATTATTCAAATCACACATATCTCCTTTTATTAATTAAAGTATTTCATATTTTAAAAACACTAAGGAAAAGGAAGACACAGAAGGTACAAGAGGTACAGACAACAAAGATAAACATTACTACATACACAATACTGCATTATCAGTGATAACAAACATTAATCTACAAGTAAATAGATGGATAGACAGGCTGAATGATCAAGAATGTCTAGGCAAAAGGGAATATATAAGGTTGGCAGACAATACTGTTACATACGTATTTGTATGTGCTGGAAGAATGTCCACATAAATATAATAGAGCTAACAAGGGGCAAAGTTATGATAACTTCTTAGCCACAGCTAACCACCCTGAGGGAGTGAGTAGTTGGATTTGTGGGCTCAGAATCTTGGTCACAGAGAACATCAAGCTCAACTGGCATAACATACTACACAAAAACAATGCTCTACATCCTACTTTTGGTGAGTATCAACTGGGGTCTTAAAAGCTTGCAAGCGGCCACCCGGATGGTCAGTCTTTTCTCGTACAGAACAAAGAAGAATAAGGAAAACCAAAGATGCATGGAAACAATTAGTCCAAGGTACTAGTACAGCATGCAAGCCTCAAGCTATATGACTATGAGTCCAGAAGAACTAGATGGTGCCTGGCAAGCACTAAGAAAGGGACTAGTGCAGGAGGCCCTGGATAGAGTGGAAGAACAATGTGGAACAAAACCTACAATCATAAAAAAGACCAGGCTTACTGGACTGATAGAGCTGGTGAGACCTCCAAGACTATGACCCCTAGTTACCCTTCAGGTCTGGAACTGAACTCACTCCCATGGCTTCCAGCCAAACAAGAGAAAGGCATACAGGGTGAACATTTACATCAGGTAGATGTACTACTTCTAAGAACAATCCATCATGGGAGTAAAAAGGGTAGTATTTGCACAGTGAGATAGCTCAGGGGGGCAGGAATGCATAGGAAAGAAAGACACAGGGAAGAGGGAACTACAGGGAGGAAGTGGGAAGAGAGGTATTACATTGTGGGGAATTGCAGTCAACGTCTTGAAGCAAAACTGCTGTATGGAAAATGAATTTGCTGCGTAAACTTTCACCCAAATCACAGTAAAAATTAAAAAAAAAAAAAAAAAGAGTCATGTCCTAAGGTTGGCTGATACTATGTGGTTCTCTAAAATTTCCAATCTTTTTCACAGAAATTGCTGTCTCATTTTCCTTCCATTTATCAATCCCAGAAATTTTTTTCCTCCTAAACCTTGCTAAGAGGAACCTGGCTGGCACAGTGGTTAAGCACTTGGCTGCTAACCCAAAGGTTGGCAGTCTGAACTCACCAGCAGCTCTACAGGAAAAAAGTGAGGCAGCTTGTTTCCACAAAGATATGTTGTTGTGGTTGTGGTTGTTGTTATTATATGCCATCAAGTCAGACTAGGAAGTAGATTGCCCCATCTTCCTTCCAAGGAGTGGCTGGTGGGTTTGAACTGCCAGCCTTCTGGTTAGCAGTCAAGTGCCTTAGCCACTATGCTACCAGAGCTCCCCCATAAAGATATACAACCTTGGAAATCCTATGGGGCAGTTCTACTGTGTCCTACAGGTTTGCTATGAGTCAGAATAGACTCAGTTGGGAACATTGCCATATTTCATCTCACTTTTTAGTTTAATGTTCCCTCATGATGCTTCCCATGGACTACTGTTGATATTTACCAGTTGCTGATGACATGACCAAGTAAGAATTTTACACAAGTGAGAGAGAAGGAAAGAGAGAATGAATGTATGTTACAGTAATTGTAGTTATTGTTAGCTGCCAACCAGTCAGTCCCAGCTCATGGTGACTCCATACACAATGGATCAAAATGTTTCCCAACTGATGCCAATGATCAGTTGCAGATTGGACCATTATGGTCTATAGCGTTTTCACTGGCTGATTTTCAGAAATAGATTGCCAGATATTTCCTCCTAGTCCATCATAGTCTAAAAGCTCCATTGAAACCTGTTCAGCATCATAGCAACATGCAAGTTTCCACTGACAGGGGTGGTGGCTGTACAAGAGTTATAACTCGCTGGTAATCAAACCCAGGTCTCCTACGTAGAAGGCAAAAATCCTACCAGTAGACTCTCAGAGTAGGCTGGGGTTGTTGTCAGGTGCCATCAAGTCGTCTCCAATTCACAGTGACCCTATGCACAGCAGAATGAAACACTGCCTGGTCCTGTCCCAACCTCATGATGCTTACTATACCTGAGCCCATCATTGCAGCCACTGTATCAATCCATCTCATTGAGGGTCTTTCCCTTGTTTGTTGACCCTCCACTTTACCAAGAATGAAATCCTTCTCAAGGGAATGGTTCCTTCTGACAACATAACCAAAGTAGGTGAGATGCAGCCATTCCATTACTAGGTATATACCCTAAAGAAGTGAGAGCCATGACAAGAACAGATATATGCACACCCATGTTCATCGCAGCAATATTTACAATAGCCAA